GCACAAATTAAGATTAATTATGCCCTCTAACATAGTTAAAGTTACTAGCTTTAATTACCTAATCTAAGATGTGATTAATCTTAACTCTAATTATTTAATGATCATAAACAATTAGGTAACAAATTCATGCAACTAGAATGATCATCTATCACACAGAACTTGATTAAACATCAATATAAAATAGAACTTCAACATGCTAGGGGTTTTAATTATCAAACACAAGTAAAATCAACATAAATCATCCATAAATAAAAATCAACACAAAAGGATCAGGTTCATCTTCACCAAACAGAAGTATTAGGTTTTTAGCATGTCATCATAACAAAAAAACGACACAAAATTCATGTAAATAAGACTAGACATGAGTAATTCTTAGCAAACCGAATAGATCTATGTAAATTTCTACTAGAAGTCTTCAATTCTTGAGCTCCAATCGATTTTTGATCTTCCCATGATTTTCCAGAGGGTTTTTGTCGTAATCCTCCTCATAAAATCAGCTAGAAGTCCCCTCTTTCGACCTAATGTTCGAATATATATAGTTTCCATAAATATGATCACCACGGCATGGTGAATAAGCACCACTCCGTGATCTTATATGAAATCCAGTATTCTCCAAGTCAGTTTAATGATCGCAAAGTTTTCATTTATCACGTCGTGGTTGGTGATCACCACGTCGTGTACTCCAGTTTTTAAGCTTCCTTTGTCTTCTTTTTTTACTTAGCCCACATTTTCCTGCTTCCAGCTCCTTGTTTTCTTCCTTTTCATCTCGAGCATGTCTTTGCTACTACAAAACAAATTTCAAACATAATAAGTACCTTATGTCTCAAAATAAACTTAATTATAGCTAAAAGTATTAGAAATATGCACGCAATACATGATTAAAATATGCACATGTCATTGAATATTTCTTAGCTGTAGTTCAGATTTGGAAAATTAGACCACCACCATCAGAGAGAGGTCGTGGTGCTTCTCACTTCTTCAGATTCGCCAGAAGCCTTAGGCACCTCAGTTCCGGAAGCACCATAGGGCTCACCATGTATAAATCCAGATCTCTGTCGTCACCCGCCGAACATCCGCTGATCTCATTCCAGATCCATCCATGCTCCTCCGAACTTCGCTAGTCCATCCAAACCACCTTCATCACCTTTGTCGTCATTGCAGATTTGAACCTACTATCTCCACCTCCAGCGTAGGTCGGCAACGTCGTCAGTTCTGCAACCAGCCATTGCCTCACACTTTCACATTATCTGCAACATCGACATTTGCTCTCAGTTTCAATGGTTTAGGGTTTGCAAACCGTAGCTCAGAGTTCTTAGTTTATATATGTTCTTCATCCTTCACGGTTTAGATATGTTCTTCGCCAGAGATATTTGTTCATTGCTGGAGATATTTGTTCATGGCGGCGTTGGATGGTGTTCGTAGAGAGATTGAGCTCCGGAGAAGGTGGCACTAAGGTTACAAAAGGTGACATGAAGATGTTGTTTGTGTTTGTGTTCTGATTTTCTGCTAGGTGGTGGGGTTGCCTTATTATTTTTTGGCAGGTGGTGGTGGCAGCAACTTTTAGGTTTTTACGGCCCTTTATTATGGTGGTGTTTAGAGTAGATAGAGAAGCAAAATATGTTAAAGAAGTGGTGGTGTGGTAGGATAGTAAGGGTGGGTGGGATTTTTATTTTTTATATTCTTATAAATACATAAATGGAAAAGAAAAGAGCAAGGGCATAATTGTTATTTTAAAAATGTTCAAAACAAATTGGACCAAAGACACAACAAATGAAACATTATGGACTAGTCGTGCAACTCCAAAATATTTTGTACCAAAGTCCCAATTTTTGATAAACCATGGGGACCAAATTTGCAATTTTGTCAAAAATTAAAAGCATAATCATACCTTTCATCATTTTCGGTTTTTTACATTTATTAGGTAATCAAAAGTCCTATATATATCTCAAAATCTACCTCTTAGTTTTGAAGAGTGTTAGAGATAGACTTGATGCACATGATGGATCTCAAACAGAAAGATCAGTTGAAGTGGGAGGTGGACGAGGGACGAAAATTATAAAAAATTTCACTGGATCGTTAACAACAACAAAAGAAAAAATTGTATTCATGGGCTATCTATTGATGGGTTATGGGCGTGTGATCCTAAAAAAAATTACTAATGTGATTTGGGATTTCTTTTCTGTTAAGTTTAATGAGCCTATAAGCAACCGACCTAAACTCATCAGCAACAGGTTTAAAAAAATTCTATGTGAAGACATGGCTGCCATTACCAAGTCTTTTATTGAAGCAGGGATCAAGGAGGCGGTTTGGTGTTGTGGGGTAAAAAGGCGTCGAGTCCAAATGGATTTAATTTTAAGTTCTTGAAGCATTATTGGGAGTTGATAGAATCAAATGTTGTTATGTCTGTGAAAGACTTTGAGAGCGCGGGGGTATTGGCTAAAGGATGTAATTCTTCATTTCTCTCTCATTCCCAAGGTTAGAGATCTTCTATATTTAAAAGACTATAGACCCATTAACGTTGTGGGTTGCTTATATAAGGTGTTATCGAAAGTAATTGTTAATCGTTTGAAGAAGGTGTTCGACAAGATCGTTAGAAGAAATAATCTTTTATTTTTAAAGTTGATTTTGATAAGGCATTTGACTCGTGAAGTTGGGAGTTCTTCAAATCGATTATGGACCAAAATGAATTTTTGGTGAAAGTGGAGAAGATGGATTAGTGGTTGTCTCTCCTCTAGTAGAGCTTCCATGTTAGTCAACGGCTCGTCGATGAAAGAATTTGATATTAGTCGAGGTGTAGGCAAGGAGATCCATTGTCTCATTTTCTGTTTATTATAGCTATGAAGGGTCTTCATGTATCCATGGAGGCGCCTATCTACCTTCACTATTTTCATGGGCTTTCTCTCCCAAACATTGACATCTTTATTTCACATCATATGTACGTTGACGATGTGGCATTCTTTGGTGACTGGTCGGAGATTTACTTTGCTAATCTGAATAGACTTCTTTGCTGTTTTTTTTATTTCCTCAGAGTTGAAAGTGAATTTGCACAAGAGTAAAGTATATGGGGTTGGTGTCGATGATGAGGAGGTGAATAGATTGGAGCCCGGTTGGTGTCGATGATGTCGATGATGAGGAGGTGAATTTGCACAAGAGTAAAGTATATGGAGTTGAAAGTGAATAGATTCGCCAACATTTTAAAGTGTGATCCTGCTTTTTTTTCACATATCTTTGTCTTCCGGTGGGAGCTAATATGAAACTTGCTAAGAATTGGAGCCCGGTTGTTGACAAGTTTAAGAACAAATTATCCAAATGGAAATCGAAGACTCTTTCGTTTGGAGGGAGCCTAAATATCGTGAACACGGTGCTTAGTAGCTTGCCTTTTTATTATTTTTCTCTTTTAGCTAGATCACCTAAAAAGGTTATTATCTTGCTTGATTACGTTAGAAGACGAATCTTATGGGGTGGTGATGAAACCATTAGGAACATAAACTTGGTTGCTTGGGACATAGTAATGAAACTAAAAAAAATATGGTGGGCTTGGAGTTGGATGTCTTAACGAGGCTAATTTGTCTCTCCTCGCCAAATGGTGGTGACGGCTTAAAAACAGGTTTGATTCATTTTGGTTTTTTTGCATAAAACCGATTCATAATATTACGTAGATGGATGGGATACCTCTCGCTAAAATCTCTATTAAAGGTGTGTGGCTTAGCATCTCTCAAATTGTTAATGATTTATTGGACAAAGGGGCTGTGTTGGCTGATTTGTCAAGAGGTTGGTTGGCATTGGGGATAAAACATATTTCTCGAAAGATTGTTGGTGTGGTGACATCATTTTGAAAGATTTATGTCCAAATCTATATGGTGCTGAGGCAAACAAGTTTTTTCTTGTTATGTATATAGTTAAATTGGAAGGTGTTAACGATTTGAAGTGGAATGGATTTGATCCCGGCAGACCAGATCAACAAGATATGATCTTGATCACCTACTTTAGGCAATTCAAGAAAATTTATAAGGAACTTAATGTCTCACAAAGAATTGTTCTTTTGTTTGATATGATTGCCATGAACCACGGCATACAAAAACAAAAATAAATAAATAAATAAAAATAAATATAAAAGTTGCAGCAAAAGTCTCATAATCAGATGATATGTTTAGCACATGTTGCTACTGGTTTTACAATTTCTGCAGATGAATACACAAGTCATTCGGTAGCAAGAAAAATCTGGAATTCTTCAACTCATTTATAACTGTGGATATCAAAAGAAAGGATCCAAATTAATACGTTTTTATTAGCATAAAATCCAGCTTCCAGGTAGTAAGTGGCATCTAATAAAATCATTATACAATTAAAAAATTCTATTAGAACCATAAAAATAAAGTTGTTTGTTTCGCTTTTCAAATGATTGATTGTTTCATAATAATGTTATTATTAGCTATACTCAAAGATCCATCTTGCCCATCAAAATAATCGTGTGAGTGTAGGAGACGATATAAAGTGAACGAAAAAGTAAAAAACATTAAAGAGATTACAAATTATAAGGAAAGATACGATTCTAAATTCTAAAGGTGTCAAAAACAATCTCATCCAACATAAACCCACCTTTTGACCAATTAAAGTTTCAACAAAGAATCATAGTGAGATAAACATTATGAACTATAAGTTGAACGAGTCATTAAAAAACTACACTTAAATAATAAGTAAAATCATAATAAATAATGGCAAAAATATTACGTCCAAGATCACTATCAGGGTTGCCACCACCACTCTCGTCATAACATTTGCAATTTACACCAAAAGACATACAAAATATCCTTCATCCGCAAAACAACAACATGCCAATATGTTACACATCATGCACTAATCAAACATTTGAAAATAGAGGAGACTTGAAGCAAAAGGTGAGTAACAACCAAACAATAAATTGACAAATGCAAATCCACCGGTGGAAGTTCTCAACATATGAAAGTATAAAAAACAAAAATAAGAGTGCTAACAAGTCATCACTCATGTAAGAGATCAACATTCATACATTCATGAGGGAAGTACCACATATTCGCATAAAAGAACTTGCCTTTTTCGCTTTTATTGGTAACATAATATTTCATGTTTGGTGACGGAGGGTCAACCCACGACTCTTGTTTAACAGCAGCACTAGGCTCCGAGTGGTTATAAAAAAAATCATATTCATCACTTGTCTCTTCAAATGGCACCCATTTCATTTCACCAAAATCCAGTTCATGAACCTTATACGAAGAATGTTTGGAATAAGTTTCCATCATCACATAAAGGTTTTCCTGAACTTACAAACATTGAGTAATAGTTATCTTCCTTTAAAAAAATTATTGATTTTGAGTAACGTCAGTTTGGGCGCTGGATTCAGTCTCATTTCACATAAATGTCCTACTTTCCATGAATAATGATCAACAGTGTGTAAGGTATATATCTTCCCCTTGAGAGCATGTATATCAAGGATGTCGGAAGTGGAAGACACATGATTCCATGCTCCTTCACCCGCTATAGGAAACCATATTCGACAGGTGCATCTCCTTGAGATAACAAACACCCATCTTGATATTGAAGATGAAAAGACAAGGATACCACAGAATCCTAATTCAACACTATAGAAATAGAAGGGGGCATGAGGGAAATGAAATTCATGCCTGGTGATAGGATTCACAAGCCAGAAGTCCTCGGTTTCCCTCCCATACATAATCAAGTAACCACAAGTTAATCCAAAATAGGTCCTACCTTTCAGAATGGGGAATTATGGTTTTGAGTTTTCTTCCTTCAAAGTCCTTTAAACAACACTCTTTCTCATTACCACGAGTAGAGATACGCATCAATATGGGTGGTTTCGATGCCATAAACCTTTTCTTGTTAGAGAGTGAGAGCGATCTCCAAGACTTACAAACTCCACTGAATGCAAAAAAATCAACAATTCCAAGTCGCATCATAACTAAAAAGAGCACATCATGGTTAAGGTCTAACCAAGGTGCCACACCACCATTATCCCAAGTCTTGATCTTCTTAGTGCTAGATCCATCATCATGATTCTGATTTCTAGTCATACTCCTTGTCTTAGCCATTGCTACACTTGCAAAAGAAAAATAAACATTTGACACCTTGCTTCTGATTTCTAGTCATACTCCTTGTCTTAGCCATTGCTACACTGGCAAAAGAAAAATAAACATTTGACACCTTGCTAAATAAAAATTCCACATAAGATACAAGAGTTGCATACACATATATATACAAAGACTCCCTTCTCAAATAACAATGATTCTTGTAATTATCTAAAGCTTACATGAAACTTAACTACTATATTCAAACATTAATCCAACAAATCAATTAAAACCACTTTATTAGTATAATCATAATCAGTTTCATATCATTACAAAATTCATGACCAATTACGCAAATGAAAAAAACAAAACCATTGTATTAAAAAGAACGTTAGGACAAAATACTAAGCTAAGACAACTATTTCACTGTCGCACTGGTGATCATATATGGATTTGACGATTTGTACACAAGTACATGTCAAACCTTAACTTGAAAACCCAAAATGTAAGAAAATATATAATAATAATAATAAATAAAAAAAAAAAAAAACTAAGCTAATATAATGGAAACATGAAATCTAACAAATCAGCACCATATAAAACTAAAATGGACCAATTCCAAGTTTATAAGAGAACAGGACACAACTGCTCTCAAATATGTATCTCAAATATGTAATGAACAATTTGCAGAAAAAATTAGGGTTTCGTATCGACGAAATTAAAAGTAAAGTAAGTGATTACGGTTCTATCGCACTGGTCACGAGTTAAAACGAGAAAACGATGTGATCACGCATGAATATCCAAATTGTCTCAAATCACGTATAAACAACCACGCACAAAATCGAGATGTACTTGTGAAATAATTTACCTGATCGAGTAAGAGAATTGTGCCGAAGGGGTTTATCGATCCAGATTACGGATGTAAAAACTAAAAACTAAAATCCGAAGCAGACTTGTTCGAAAATCGATACTTTCATAAAGTTTTTGGGTATTTTTGGGTTGTGGGTCCCAAAGATGGGGACTTAACTATTTTATAGACTAAACTTTTTCCATCCTACATGTCACAAAAATAAAAATCTAAAAAGCTTTTTTTTTTTTACAAAATTGCAAAAATGGTTCGTGTCGTATGCAAATTTTTGGGGTTTTAGTCCAAACCCCGAGTTTTTTGGATTCATGGTCCTTTTTGAGTGGTTTGTATGTGAAAATAGTCCCTCCGAAAATTGAAATGACTATAATACCCTTGGAGTATTTATTTTCCATTTTTCTTTCATTTCTCTTTAAATCTAATACTATTTTATTTATTTTAATAATTAAAAAAATAAGAAGGCTCTCTCTCTCTCTCTCTCTCTCTCTCTCTCTCTCTCTCTCTCTCTCTCTCTCTCTCTCTCTCTCTCTCTCTCTCTCTCTCTCTCATGATGAAAGAAGAACATGGAATCATCTTCTTGTTCATCCACACTACCCAATTAATCTATAACAACTTGTCTTCCTTCTTCTCATCTTACCTTCCCAATTTCAAGGATCAATTCCGTCTCCCCCAAAGTTAGAGTAAAAATAACAAACCAGATATCCCAAACCCTAGATGAGAATCCAATTGAAACCAACATCACAACTCATGTATCCTTCTTCACTCTCGACATTCACCAATCAAACAAGAATAATCATTATTCTCGGACAAGAAATTTATGCAAACAGAGATCAACACACAAGTTCAACCTAATTCCATTGGTGAAATTGATGTTCTACGCGATTTTCTACAAAGTGATGAAACGAAGATCAATTTTTGATTTCTGCAAAAAAAAACTTGATTTCTGCAAAAAAAAAAAAAAAAAAAAAAAAAAAAAAAAAAAAAAAAACGATTTCTTAGAGTTGAAGTTTGAAATCAATTTTTTTTTAAGAGTTCTTAGGCTACAGGTTCGTTATTTTCCGCTTCTAAAGTAATCAAAATGAAACTTGTGACATAACATTTTTTAGAAATCTTGATGTGGTTTCTGGTAGCTTATATCCTCCTCCTACTCAGCTCTTCCCTAATTTCATGGTTGTTCTTGTGGATTACATGTGAAATCGATCCGTTGCAAGAGAATGAGGGGTGTGATTTTACTGGAGTGAATCAATTTTAACATAGTTGTGCACCAATCGATCTGCAATTGAAAAATGGTGATGGTGTTCAGACAGACCAGTTTCCACAGTGGTCTACGATTTTTTCTTTCTGATGGTTGTAATGGAAGTGGATGTGAGCAAAAGCAACGAGAGGGAAGAATTGAAAGAAAAAGCACATGCATAAACTTGTTTTTTTTTGGATTTGGGTTTCTTTGGAATCGACACAAACATGAGAGAGAGAGAGAGAGAGAGCCTTCTTATTTTTTTAATTATTAAAATAAATAAAATAGTATTAGATTTAAAAATAAATGAAAGAAAAATGGAAAATAAATACCCCAAGGGTATTATAGTCATTTCAATTTTCGGAGGGACTATTTTCACATACAAACTACTCCAAAGGACCATGAATCCAAAAAACTCGGGGTTTGGACTAAAACCCGAAAAATTTGCATACCACAGGGACCGTTTTTGCAATTTTGTCTTTTTTTTTCAAAAGACAAAACTGCAAGATTGGTCCCTGTGGTATTCAAAAAACTTTGGATAGGGTCCAAAAACTTTCCAGCTTGCATGGAAGATCCAAAATCAAAAGTTTCTCGTGAATTTGGTCCTAAAATCAGAAACTTCTTGTGAATTTGGTCCCTGATGAATTTGAAAAGACTATTTTACCCTTATCATTTATGTTTTATATTTTTATTTGTTTAAATATTTAAATAATCATAACAAAATAAATAATAAAATCCCACCCCCTTTAATAATTTAAAAAAAGGGAATCACCTACCCTTTCTCTCTCTCATCCCAAACGAAATCACCCACCTCAACTTCATCTCTTCCGACGGCTCACGCCACCCTCATCGGCACTTCATAACTCCCTCCTTCCTATCGAAAAAACCCCTTATTCCCCCTCTTCTTTTCCATGGATTCCTCATAATACCCGATTTGACGGAGGGTTTCTACTCCCCCTGTCTTTCCACGTTTGCTTTCTTGTGAGGATCTCGATCATAGTGCATCCTAATTACATCTAACAACCATTTCCCCTCTTCCCTTCTCCACCGTTCTATGTTCTCTGATGACCGGTCGCTTTTCTCCAAAGGAATGGAGTCCACATATTTTTAATGAACAGATTTTGAGATTTAGGTTTGGTTTTTAAACTTATAATTATCGATCTGTAATATCTTTTCTGGTTTTGCTAGTTACTAACTGAAATATGTGGTAGATGGAGGGGGAGGAGGAAGAGTCTGGACAGATTTTGATGGACGAGTGAGAGAGAAACAAGAGATCAGTTTGTTTAGATTACCAGCAAGATCTCTGATGATGTCAATGGTGAATATACAAGTTGTGAGTGGCAATTAGGATGGACAGATTTTGATCTTGACGGTCGGCTATGGCTAATCCGATTTTCATCTTGATGGTTAGCCATGGCTGATCTCTCCAAATTCACATATATTAACTTTAGGTCACAATGGGGAATTAAGATGATGTAGGTGACGGATGGAGAGGGAGGAGGATGCAAGTCAATTATGAAGATGGTGGACAAAGGATGGAGGACATGTAGTCGTTGGTGAAGAAGGAGGACGAAGAAGATGGTGTGTGTGTGTGTGTGTGTGTGTGAGAGAGAGAGAGATGGGAGGAAGGTACCGTTGATGGGTGTGGGGTAGGGTGTTTTCTTTTTTCTTTTTTTTTTAATTATTAAAATATATAAGTAAATAAAAAAATGTGAAAAAGAAATAATAAGGGAAAAATAGTCCTTTCATCTTTTTTAGGACCAAAACCAAAGAAAACTTTTGATTTTGGACTTTTTATGCAATTTGGAAAGTTTTTGGACCCCATCAAAAGTTTTTTGCAAACCGCGGGGACCAATTTTGTAGTTTTGTCTTCTCAAAATTAACACTGAGGCCATATGGACTCCCCTTGCTTTATGCGAACTCGGATGAAAAAGATATTGTGTGGTTATGACCAGGATATCATCATTTTACAGTGCGTCATTGTGGACTCACCAAATAATATTTTTTAAAAAAATTAACTAATATTTATTTATTGTAAACAATAATTATAAGATTCATTGAATGCATCATACGAGTTTTAGGAAGGAATATTATAAACCTTAATTGTAAAATTTAATTAACATTTATTTATTATAGAGACTAGTTAATACCCATTGAAACCACAGATAAAAAAGAAAAACACTATAGCATTCTATTTTCTGAAAATTGTCATTTATAATATTACTAGGTGTGAGACCCATGTATTACATGGGTTTATTTAAAACAAAATATGAAATTTTAACAATTTGACAAGCTTGAATTTATAAGAAAAATGAGAAAATTTTTAAATTATTAAAATTAATGAAGCTTTAATACGTTGAATACATTTATATATATATATATATATATATATATATATATATATATATATATAAACTCTTTCTAATAAATACATTACATATATATTACCTTACATATTAAATGTGGAATTTTAATTTAATAAAATAAAAAATACAATAAAATAACAAGTGGAAAATAAAATTTTCAAAAATTCATGAAAATGTCATGTGTCCAAATGAAGGAGAAGGTGACATGTGGCAAAAAGATTTTGATTTATTAGAGATGCTACTTTTAATATGTTAAATAGACATCGATAGGATAAAACCTGTGAAAACCAAAGTTAAGAATAAAAATATTATTGATAATTTAAAATAGTAATGAAAAATCAAAGATTTATAAATTATTTTGAATATATAAGCTTATGAGTTTCTAGCTTATTTGATGGTGAGGTTTTGTTTAAAAACTTTGTTAGTATAAGATTTCTTAGTCTAGCTTTGTTTGTGACATGTCAAACATTACTTGCGGTTAAAAAACAAAATTTATTTTCTAATAAATATGATTTTTAGAGATTCAAGCACTACACCCATCTCCATTGAAGTACCCATT